AAATATCGAACTCAAGTGCAGTATTGATCCCGATGATGCCTAAGCGGCGAACCAATTCAGGATGGTTTGAAATCTCTTGTGGACGTAGAACCAGTTTGTCTTTGTATTGTTCTAGGTTGTTAAATACCTTTTCGCCATATTTAGCAGAAAGGGTAATTGATGAACCTGAAGCAAACTTCATTTTACCCGCATCAATCAATTCGAAAGTACAGTCTTGCAGTACTTCTGAATACATCACCAAATCTTCAAAGTTAGAATCTTTAAGACCGGTTAATACGGCATTGGCAATCGAACCGATGCCCGCTTGTAAAGGACCAAGATTCGAAGGTAAACGACCTTCTTCAACTTCTTTTTCAAAGAATGCGATTAAATGGTTGGCAATACCTTGAGTTTCATCATCTGGTAGTGTCACTGTTGATGGAGAGTCATGATATTCGTTGTTAATTACGATACCCACGATTTTTGCAGGATCAATATTGATTGCAGGTGTACCAATACGTTGATCAACATGCGTCAAAGGAATTGCTTGACGTGTTGGACGGTAAGTTGGGATATAAATATCGTGTAAGCCTTCAAAAGCAGGGCTTAAGTTGGTGTTGATTTCAACAATCACTTTTTCAGCAAAAATTGCAAAGCTTGCAGAGTTACCCACAGATGTTGTTGGAATGATGCCACCATCTTCAGTAATCGCAATCGCTTCAATCACCGCAACATCAGGTTTTTTCAACTGGAGGTTACGCATTTGCTCAACAGTTTCAGACAAATGCTGATCGATGAACATCACTTCACCATTGTTGATGGCTTTACGTAAAGTGTTATCGACTTGGAATGGTAAACGACGCGCAAGTACACCAGCTTCAGTTAATTGTTTGTCTAGATCATTACCTAAACTTGCACCTGTGATTAAAGTAATCTTCAACGGATTCACTTTGGCTTGTTTTACCAGCGCTAAAGGTACAGCTTTTGCTTCACCTGCACGAGTAAATCCACTCATCCCCACAGTCATCCCATCTTGGATAAAAGTTGCAGCTTGTTCTGCGCTCATGACTTTGTCATGGAGAGATGCTAAACGAATACGATCTAAAGACATGGTTTACGCTCAATTCTTGTTCAAAACTAGACGGATTGTACCGCCCTCAAACTGAATTGTGCATGCCTCTAATGCTAAGGTCTAATTTTTTCAATAAATGCAGGTATAAATTCTGGTGATGGTTTTTAAGTTGTTATTTATTAATAAAATAATGATGGCTGTTTGTTAAATAAACAAAGTTAAGTGCTGGTTTATTGAGCAATCACTAAAAGTGATCACTCAAACTTTGTTTGATTTTTTGAATTGGATTTGTAGGTATCGATTCTTCCTCAACTTTTATTGAAGTTGGTAGTGAAATGATGGCTTGTAACCCGCCTTCAGGACGGTTGGAAATCAACAGTTCACCTTGATGAATATCCACAATCCGTTTGACGATGGCCAAACCTAGACCACTCCCTTGTACTGTACGTGCGGCATCACCACGGACAAAAGGTTGCATAAGTCCTTCAATTTGGTCTTCGGGAATTCCTTCACCATTGTCTGCTACACAGATTTTAATATGCTCATCTTCTACAAAAGCACTGAGTTCAATTGGTTCAGCCCCATAGCGTTTTGAGTTGTTGATGAGATTGCCAATCAGGCGTTTTAACGACAGTGAGCGTGCAGTAATGATCGGTAATTCTTGCGGCGTGAACTGAATATCTAAGGGTTTAAACTGAATGATTAATTCTTGTAGCAAAGCATTGATATTGGTTTCTTGAAGCTCCTCATCTGAGCCATCACGCATATAGGAAATAAACTGGCTTAAAATGGCATCCATATCATCAACATCATAAATCAAACCTTCTTTTAAAAAGTCATCATCAGACATCATCTCTGCACTTAAACGGATCCGTGTCAGCGGTGTTCTTAAATCATGAGAAATACCCGCCAACATGATTTGGCGATCACGTTCAGTTTGTTCAAGTGTATACACCATCTGGTTAAAAGCTTGATTCACCTCACGAATTTCTTGTGGTCCGTGATTGGTTTCCAAGTAGGGTGCCTTTCCTGTTTTACTGTAGTTATTTGCTGCATGTTGTAAGCGACGTAACGGGCGGTTGAGCTGTCTGACCAGTGTCAGGATGATCGCTGCGGCAATCAGTGGAATACCCAATAACCAGGCTAAAATCAGTTCAGGACTATAGTTAGCATAGGTATTGAGAGGTTCACGGACCCAATTGCCATTCATTTCAGGGGTTTGAACCCAAATGCGCGGACTGGGCTTAAACTGGAAATAAACCGTCACATCTTTGATTTTTAATTCTTGAGCAAGCTGGTTCTCAATACGATTGGTAAAGAAATCTGCAATAATTTTGTCTTTTACATTTGGGTATTCTTTGGGATCTGTAACATATTCAACCCCAACCCGTTGCTTTAACCATTCGTCAATATCGAGTTGTATTTCGTCATGGTAAATCTGCAAGCGCGGATTATTCACCATTTCCAGTTCAACTGCCAAAAATCGTGCATGTTGTTGAATTTCAGGTAAATAAAGCGTTTTCCAGAAAAACCACAGTGACATAAATAGGCTAAAGAACACCACGAATACCACCAATACTGTGGTGCGCATTGCCGCTGAACGAGGTTTGACTTTATCGAGGAAGCGTTCCCAAGGTGTACGTTTGCGTTCTTTGTAGGTGACAAAGTCGGTAAATTCTTGTGGGTCTATGGGTTCTAATTTCACAGGAGCATTCCAATCTGTGCGATATTCTTAATCTATGGATTTCAGTTTAAAGGATGGCAGATTTATCGCAATATTAAAAATGTTAGGTTACTCGGCTTTAACTTATTTATTGTCATAAATACTCAGATTAAAATATTTAAACTCAACAAAATAGGAGACTTATTGCATTGAGATCAAACAGTTTTTGTAGAGTCGCCCAATATGCTTATATTTAAAATACCAGTGAAATCATAAGTAAATAAGTGTAGCTCTAGGGCAAAGCCATCAAGACTATTATTTAGGATGAATAAATATGGATAAAAAAATACTGGACACATGCAAAACCAAGTATGTGACCAGTACTTTTGAAACTGATTCATGCTATCGAATCAAGATCTATTTATTCCGCACCATCTGGAACGAACACATAACCTACGCCCCAAACTGTTTGAATATAACGTGCGCGTGCAGGGTTTTCTTCAATCAAACGACGTAAGCGAGAAACTTGAACATCGATTGAACGTTCCATTGCACCCCATTCACGACCACGTGCAAGATTCATCAACTTGTCACGTGTTAATGGTTCACGTGGATGCTGAACTAATGCCTTCAAGACCGCAAACTCACCTGTGGTTAATGTGACCACTTGCCCTTCACGCGTCAGGGTACGTGTTGATAAATCTAAAGACCAAGGGCCGAAAGACACAACTTCTACGTTTTGACTTGGTGCACCTGGAACTTCACGGACTTGACGACGTAATACGGCACGAATACGTGCTAATAACTCATTTGGATTAAATGGTTTAGGCAAATAATCATCCGCACCAGCTTCTAAGCCAGCAATACGGTCAGAGTCACTGCCTCGTGCGGTCAGCATGATGACAGGTGTATCTATATTTGATGAGCGTAAACGTCTACAAATGCTTAAACCATCTTCTACAGGAAGCATAAAGTCTAAAACGATGAGTGAAAATAACTCACGTTGTAATAGGCGATCCATCTGCGTTGCGTCGTGGGCCGTTTTTACCACAAAGCCTTTATCTTCAAGGAAACGCTGTAAAAGGGTACGTAAACGCACATCATCATCGACTACTAAAATGCGTTCGACGCGGTCAGTTTCGTTATGTACGATATCTGTATTTTCAGCAGGTACAACCAAACTCATGATGTACTCCCTTAATGTTGTAAATTATAAATATTCGTCAATCTCAGTATACTGCCTAAGCTCTTGTTAAGACTATGTATCAAATTGCTCAAAAATACAATTTTCAGGCTGTTTTGAAACCAAAAAACAACATCTATAACGATTTAAGATGATTCTATGTTTATAAATAAAAAGATATACCATATGCAAATGAAAGTTTTATGTATTTTGGCAATAAGTTTTGCTTTAAGTGCATGTATTAGCCGACTTTCCAGACCTGAAATCTCAGGACAAGTGATTGACCAATTTGACCAACCGATTGATCAGGTTCAAGTTGGTGAAACGCAAACAGATGTGCAGGGTAACTTTCGACTCAAGGAGCGACGCTATGCTGCATTTTTGCTGAAAGAAATCATGTATATGGAAGCACCACCAATATTTGTACAAGAGCGTCTAAGTAAACAGGGTTATCAGCCATGTGATTTGCAATATTTCAATTCTCATGGCGGTGGACAGCGCAAAGGTGCACAGTGGAAAGTTGGAAAAATTATTTTACAAAGCAATTTAAATGTAGCAAAGCAGGATGAAATACCCGATTGCACTGTAAAAACTCAAGAAAAATGATCTTTTATCACTTTTTTCACTGCTAATTTGCAAAACAATTGTGGATTTTATGGTCTTGGTCTTTATAATCACTAACTTTTAGTCCTTATCCTTGTGGAATTAAACACGATGACTGACTTAGTTCAGCAGTTGGCAAGTGAACTTGCCGTACGTCCAAACCAAGTAGAAGCTGCCATTAAACTGATAGATGAAGGCTCTAGTGTTCCATTTATTGCACGTTACCGTAAAGAAGTAACGCAAGGCTTAGACGACATCCAATTACGCCAACTTGATACACGCCTTGTTTATCTACGTGATTTATTTGAACGCCGTGAAAAAGTAATCGAATCATTAAAAGAACAAAATAAGCTCTCTGATGACTTACTTGCTCGGGTAAATGGTGCTGAAACAAAAAATGCATTAGAAGAACTTTACGCACCGTACCGTCCAAAACGTACCAGTAAATCATTCAAAGCGAGAGAAGCAGGATTAGGGGAATTTGCTGAGAAAATTATCGCAGAGCAAATTGATCCGGCTGAAGCTTTGGCTGGTTTTAGCCATGAAGAATACCCAGATGTTGAAAGCCAATTAGACGCGATTCAACACATCATCATTGATGACTGGGCACAAAATATTTCATTAACCACAGAACTTAAATCAACATTTGCCAAAACAGCGGTGTTAAAAAGTTTGGTGGCATCTGATGAGAAAAAAGAAGTCGGTAAGAAATTCCGTGATTACTTTGATTTCTCTGAAAATTTAAATAAAGTTCCTTCGCATCGTTTATTGGCAATGCTACGTGGCCGCCAAGAAAATGTATTGGGTCTTAAAGTTGATGGTGATGATCATGCACCACTTGCACGTATTGAAACTGAATACGCGCTTGAAAGTGTTCAGCCACAAGCACGTCAAGATTTCTTAAAGCAAATCGCAAAGCTGTTTTGGTTAGGTAAAATTCGCCCAACGATTGAGCATTCTTTGTTGACTGAAAAGCGCCTTGCAGCTGAATCAGAAGCAATGGACGTGTTTGCAGAAAACTTACGTCATTTATTGCTTTCTGCACCTGCAGGTTCGCGCACAACTTTAGGTGTTGACCCTGGTATTCGTACAGGGGTAAAACTGGCGGTTGTTTCAAATTCAGGTGATGTGCTTGCACATAGCACGATTTACCCATTTGCACCAAAAGAAGATAAAGCAGGTTCGATTGCTGAACTTGCACGTCTTTGCCGTGAATTTAATGTGGATTTAATCGCGATTGGCAATGGTACTGCGAGTCGTGAAACTGAAGCTGTTGTTGCAGAAATGATGGCTGCAAATGCGGATCTTACATTAACGCGTGTTTCAGTAAGTGAAGCTGGTGCATCTGTTTACTCAGCATCAGAATTGGCTTCTGCTGAACTGCCTGAGCTTGATGTTGCGATTCGTGGCGCTGTTTCAATTGCACGTCGTTTACAAGACCCATTGGCTGAACTGGTAAAAATTGACCCTAAATCTATTGGTGTAGGTCAATATCAGCATGATGTGAATCAAACCAATTTGGCAAAAACATTAGATGCTGTGGTTGAAGACTGTGTGAATGCGGTGGGTGTAGATGTAAATACAGCATCTCCAGCAATCTTGGGCTATATCGCAGGTTTAAATAAAGCCATTGCACAGCAAATTGTAGATTACCGTAAAGAAAATGGTCGTTTTGACAATCGTCAAGCATTGAAAAATGTACCACGTTTAGGCGAGCGCACATTTGAGCAAGCTGCTGGTTTCTTACGTATTCAAGATGGCTCAGAACCTCTAGATGCATCATCTGTTCACCCTGAATCGTATGGTTTGGTCAACAAAATTGTTGAAGCGAAAGCGACCACAGTGAAAGATATCATTGGTAATACTGAAATTATTCGTCAAGTGAAAGCAGAAGATTTTGCTGACGACAAATTTGGTCTACCAACAATTCAAGATGTGTTAAGCGAGTTGGAAAAACCAGGTCGCGACCCTCGTCCAGAGTTCCGTACAGCAAAATTCCGTGAAGATATCACTGAAGTCAGTCAATTGACTGAAGGGATGCAGCTTGAGGGTGTGATTACCAATGTGACTAACTTCGGTGCATTCGTCGATGTTGGTGTGCATCAAGATGGTCTAATACATATTTCAGAACTTGCCAATGAATTTGTTTCTGATCCACATAAAGTGGTGAAACCAGGGCAAATCGTACAAGTACGTGTGTTGACAGTAGATGCTGAGCGAAATCGTGTGAATTTATCGATGCGCCCAGAAGGTTCGGAAGCACCAACTAAAGCACCACGTCAAAAGCGTGAGTTCAATAACAATGAACAACGCGGTGAGCGTAAGCCTCAGGGTAAACGTCTACAGCAAGGTCGTCCAAACTATGACAATAAAGACAAAGCACCACGTCATGACAAGAAACCACAAGCAGCTAAACCTCAAGAAAACAAAATTGGTGGTTTAGGTGCGTTGTTATTACAAGCAGGGATTAAAGGGTCTAAATAAGCCTTAATTTCTCCATAAAGAAACCGCCGTAAGGCGGTTTTTTATGGATTAGACAATTGCAGAAAGATCACAATCTTTTTTAAATGGGCATGCTTCCCCAACCACAAGATTTTCAAGTAGATTCTGAATATTCTGTAATTGGAGAATTTTTTCACCAATGACACTGAGCTTGTCTTTTAAAATCATATGAAATTGTTCTGCTGGAATTTCATTAACGTTGACCAAGTCTAAAATCTGTTTAATTTCAGCCAAAGTAAAACCTAAATTTTTAGCGACTTGAATCAGTTGTAATTGCTGTAAGTCTTGTTTTGAATAATCCTTATAACCATTATTTCGTGTCAATGGGCGGATAAGATCAAGCTTTTCATAAAAACGAATGGTATCCCGACTGAGATTTAATTGCTCTGATAATTCACCGATTAACATCACTTGCTCCAAATTTTATGTATTTGCAAGAAACACTTGACTGTGGAGTGTACTCCATCCTTTAGCTTAAGTGCGAGCATATAAAGGGTGTATAAAGTGATGCAAAATAATCAAAGTGTAGAAAAAGTTGCCTTGGTGGTTGGTGCAACAGGATTTATTGGTAAATTTCTTGTAGCACGATTACTTCAAAGCAATGACCAAGTTTTTGCTTTGTGTCGTCGTCTGGATCAGCAAGAGCCGAGTTTGAGAGCGTGGCTGGAAAAACAAGGAATAAGTCATCAAAAGTTATTCTGTCTACAAGGCGATGTTACCTTGCCTGATTTGGGTGTTTCAGCTGAAGATTGGAAACGGCTTGCTGAGGTAAATTATTTATTTAATACCAGTGCATTATTTGCATGGAATCTTTCGATACAACAGGCAAGGGATGTTAATGTTAAGGGCTTAGTCAATTTACTTGAATGCGTAAACGAGCATTGCCAATTGAAACGGGCAATTCATCTTTCTGGCTATATGTTGACACTCACTCAGCACTTACAAGATGCTGGAGTCTGTTTAGAAAATATCGAGAGTACGAATTGGAGGCGGGTGTACCAAAAACTGGGTGCTTATGAGGCTTCTAAAATTGAAGCTCATTTTGCTTGGATAAAATGCGCTCAACAGTTGAAAATTGACTGGACAGTGATTCATCCTGCAACAGTGGTAGGGGATGAAAATTCTGGTGAAATTGCAAAAAACCAACCAATTGCTCATCTGATTACCCAGCTTAAACAGGGTAAAATGACCGCAATTCCTGCAACCCCTCAGCATTATTTACCTTTGGTTTCAGTGACCATGTTGGTCAATGCGATATTAAAAGCATCACAGGATCAACTCACAATTCACCAAGATATATTGATTGCCAATCCTACTCAGATTTCTTTGCAAGCTCTTATTGACAATGCGGCTCACAGATTAAACCTAAAAGCACCGCAATATTTTGTTTCGCTACACATCTTAAAATTGATTTTAAGATGGAAGTGGCTTGCTCAAAAGCTGGATCTATCTGCTGAGATGTTGAGCTTTATCCGAACTGAGCAATTAAATATGGATCAGTTTTTAACATTAAATCAGAAATGGCAAATACCAGAAACCAATCTTAAACAGACCATTGCACTGACTGCAGAATGGGTAGATCGGAATCATCAGATCTAGCAATAAATGGGCAATTTATTATTATCGTGTTGTATAACCACCATTGGCAAAAATAGTCTGACCTGTAATCCACCAACCCTCTGTCACTAAAAAGCGTACCAAAGGTTCAATATCTTCAATCTTGGTTAGACCACCCAGTGCAGAGGCAGATTTATGATAGGCCACTGCTTCAGGCGCTTCTTGACCATAGAAAAATGGTGTATCCATTGGACCCGGTGCAACAGCAGTGACGGAAATACCACGATCGCCGTACTCTTTCGATGCTGCACGTGTATAGTGCTCCACAGGTGCTTTTAAGCCTTCATAAGTTGAATATAATCCTGTGTAGGCTGCTAAAAGACTGGTCACGATAGAACAAATTTTTCCACCATTGTTAAGATGTTTACCCGCAGATTGGATGAAGAAATAGGCAATTTTATTGTTAATGTCATTCATTGAATCAAACTCTTGTTCTGTTGTTTCAATCAATGGTTTTTTAAGTACGCGTCCTACGGTATTAATCGCGATATCGACCCCACCGAAGATTTCTTTGGCTTTGATGAACAATGTTTCGATATTTTGAATATTAGAGAGGTCTGCTTGTATCAACGTTGCATTAACACCAAGTTGTTCAACGGCTTTGAGTGTTTCTTCTGCATCTTTTTGGGTTTCTAGACTGTTGTAGTGAATGATAAGATTTGCTCCTTGTTCTGCAAATTTTCGCGCGATCAGACCACCTAGGTTTTTAGCGCCACCCGTAATAATCACTGTTTTATCTTTTAAGCTATGCTGCATCATTTTTATTCTCCAATTTTGATAAATGATGCTGAAATTCTAAAAGCTATTTTTTGTTCTAAATAGTGATTAGAATCGAATAGATTGTTTGAAAAAGTTGAATAATAAATGGATAAAATTGACCGGCTAAAAATTTTTTGCTTAGTTGCGGAAAAGCATTCATTTGCCCAAGTCGCTAAAATGCTGGATTTACCACGTTCAACAATTACCTATGCAATACAAGGCTTAGAAAAAGAATATCAAGTATTGTTATTTAATCGAACAACGCGAAAAGTTAACTTAACCAATGATGGGGTTCAGTTTCTTAAAGAAGTTCAACAATTGATTTTTCAGGCTGAAGGGCTAAATAAGTTTAAATTAAAAAACCGTCAATATAAGGGACAAGTTAAAATTGGCTTACCGTTAAGAATTTCAACGCAATATCTTCTTCCTTATCTGCATGAATTCTATGCAAAGTATCCCAATATTAAAATTTCAATTTATAGCCACGATCACTATTCGGATTTAATTGAACAGCGACTGGATTGTGTGCTTCGTGTTGGAAATGTGATGAATGAAAATCTAATTGTGAGACCCATCACAAACGTTGATTTATATACAGTTGCTGCTCCAAAATATTTAAATACATTGGAGAATACTCTAGAAAAAGAGTCGTTAAATCAGCATATTATGATTGGTTATCAAATGAAAAATATGGATTCAGATTTTGGAAGCTTAGTATTTAAAGATACCCAGATCAAACTCCCTTATCAACTTTCAGTTGAGGATACCGAAAGTTATTTACATGCGGGCTTGCAAGGGTTGGGGATTATTCAGATTCCAGCTTTTGATGCAATCCCGTTTATCGAGACCAAAAGATTAACCAGAATATTTGAGCAAGAAGCATGTCTAAAAATACCCATCAATTTTCTTTTTTTAGAAAGAAAGTATCGACCAGTATATTTCCAATTCTTTATTGATTGGTTGGAAAGCTTACTCAAGCGTAAACTTTCCATGACATCTTAAGCTTACCAATGCTCACCTGGGAACAAACGTGCATATGCTCTTTGTACCAGATTCAATTTTTGTGGCTCACCCACAGACGCAGTAGAACTTGGGAACAAATTAAAGCCAATTGACATTAATTTGTTATTGATTCCAGGCGCAATCGAATAAGTAATAGAAGCTAAACGGCCTAAGTTTGTCGCAACTTTCTTCGGTCGTTTCACAATCGCATATGCCACTAAATCTGCTGCTTGTTCAGGCGAAAGTGTTGGTACATATTTATAAATTTTAGTCGGTGCAATCATCGGCGTGCGGACTAAAGGCATATAAACTGAAGTAATCGCAATTTTATGTGAATGTACTTCCGCAGATAAACAACGGCTAAATGCATCCAATGCTGCTTTTGATGCAACATAAGCAGAGAAGCGAGTTGCATTCGCCAAAACACCAATTGAACTGATATTGATAATTTGACCGTCTTTACGAACCATCATTTGCGGTAAAATATTCAAAACTAAACGAACTGCGCCAAAGTAATTCAGCTGCATCGTACGTTCAAAATCATGGAAACGGTCAACAGATTCATGTACCGCGCGGCGAATCGAGCGACCTGCGTTATTGATCAAAATATCAATATGATCAACAGAGGCAATGATTTGTTTAGACACTTCATCAATAGCATCCATATCATTTAGGTCGCAAGGGAAAATATCAGCCTGCCCACCTTCAGCCTGAATTTCAGCTTGAACTTCTTTCAATGTTTCTTCAGTACGAGACACTAAAAGTACATGTGCACCTGCTGCTGCGAGTTTTTTTGCAACCGTTAAACCGATACCACTAGATGCACCTGTGATTAGTGCAATTTTACCTTGAACCTTTTTTTGAAAAAGTTGCTCTAATTTTTGATTCATAGCTATTTTCCTGATTCTACTGGCATAAATATATGCTGTATTTTTTGTTTCGGGTGATTGGGTCTTTGTTTAAAAGATGATCACTTTTGTTGGAAGGCAATAATATACAAAAAAAATAAAAATACTAGTATTAAGTGACTGAATTTATAAAATATTTTTAGAGTAAATACTCTATTATATTTTTACTTATTTCGTGATTTTTACCATATAAAAATGAGTATTAAAAGCAAAAAATCAATCTTGTTGTATAAAACATAACCAAATAAATTCACTTGAAAATTTGAATATATTTTTAAGTAAACAGAGTTGATTTCAACTCTGTTTATAGGTGGATATATGTAATATTTTTATCATGATTTATGAAAAAGCAAGCTCATCATATGCTTTTTTTAATTGTTCTTTGGCGTGGGTATGACCTTGATGTGCAGCTTGTTCAAGCCACTTTTCTGCATGACTATAACTTCGGTCTAACCCAAGTTGTCCATTTAAGTAGCTGAGTCCTATTTTATACTGAGCTTCTTGATCTCCACGTAAAGCAGCTCTTAAGTAGCACCACATAGCATTACGATTTGCGATTTCATCTAAACTTAGATTTTGATCTTCAAAATGATGTGCTTGCGCTTTTTCGAGAGCAGCTTCGGAAGCATTCTGTTCAAATGCCCGGCGAGATGTTGAATCTCCTAAAAAACGGTTAAAAATATGTACCAACATATACAACCTCCTTGCTAATCCATTAACAAAGTAAAAGAGACTGCTAATCACAAAAAAATGATTAGATATAATTAATCTAGCTGATTTTTTTCACTTTGCAAATAGTTAAATGTAATTTGTCAATTGCGATTTTTACACATTTGTTAAAAAATACATTATTTAACAAACCAACAATTTTTATTTAAAAGATTAAATCACGCACTGTAATTTTATTACATTGAGAAAATTTGCTATATTTAGGTTGTTTTTTGATTTCGGATAGAATCTGTGAAACGCTCAAGTGTTTTCATCACAGTCTTGCTTAGTTTGTTTATGTTCCAAAGTCTTTGGAATGTAGCGGCGGCTTTTTGTGATCATGAAAATACTGCGCTTCCATCACAAAGATTAATTAGTCAGCATTTTGGGCACCATAATGCGCCTGATTGTACTCAAGATCAGCAACAGCATCCGCAGCTATTGGATGTGTATGGGATAGATAAACCGATTTCTGATCAGTCCGCGTCAAAACAATTATCAGCACACCAACATGATGTGCGCTCCAATGATTTCCTTAATCATATAAATGATGATCATCGTGACCATTTGCCTTCCTTTGCGCATTTTATTGTGGTTGATGATCAGCAACAAACAGCGCAGCCTAAGTTTATAGGCTACCCTGAATCCCGCTTTATTGGCTGGAATAATTTGTACCAGTCACCCGATCTATATTTGCCTAATCCTCCGCCTCTCTCATCCCCGCTATAAGGTGGGGTAGCCAAAAAGATTGCCCACCGCTAATGGTTTAATTTAGTGGGGCATTTTTATGTCAAAAGAAATACGTAATTTAGTACAAAAGCCTGTATTTGGTTTTAGGCCGTCTTTGCTCGGTGCACTGATGTTGAGTGTGATGTCATCTCTTAGTTGGGCAGACAACCCATCTCAAGCATTAACCTTACAACAGGCAATTGCAAAAACTGAGCAATATCAGCAAACGCAGAACGTCTGGCAAACACAGCAACAAATTGCAACGGCGAACATCAAACAAGCAAAACTGTGGACAAATCCAGAGTTATCCGTATCGCAAACGGGTTTTGGTTCCAATCAAGATCAAGAGCTTTCAATTGGTGTTTCTCAACGATTGGATATTTTTGGTGAACGTAAGTCAGCACAGAGGTTGGCACAACTTTCAAAAGATCAAAGTGACTTAAATCAGCGGATTTATCAGGCTCAACTTGAATTGGCTGTGAAATACCAATGGTCACAGCTTGCCATTTTTGAATTAGAACGCAACGTGGTTCAAGAGCAGCTCAACGTCAGTGAAGAAAATCTGAATGCGATTCAGAAGCGCTATCAAGCCGGGAGTGTCGCTCAGGTTGATGTAGATCGTGCCAGACTGAGTCATGCAGAAAATGCTCGCTTATATCGTCAAGCCGATTTGCAGGTGCAAGTTGCCAAGCAGCAATTGTCCAACCTTTGGGGGGATGCTGATAAATCGATTCGTATCGGTTTAAATCCTCAATCTTTATGGCCGTCTTCGACACACCAACAGGTACAAGAATATCTCGCGGACAATCTTTTTGAAAAATCACGTCAGTTACAGGTGTTGCAAGCAAAAGCGACAGTGGCGCAATTAAAAGCTTCGGCACGGCCTAATCCGACTGTGAATTTAGGCGTGAATCGTACTCGATCACCTGAAACCTCGACTGACAATGCTTTAGTTGTGGGGGTCTCTATCCCATTGAATATTTTCAACCGCCAGCAATACGGTGTGCAAATTGCGCAAGCAAAGCAGGATTTACTCAGTAGACAACAGGAGTTTTATCTCCGCCAAAATGCTTTGCAGGTGGGAACATTATTGACTGAATTGCAAGGACTGGAAGTACAGTTTAAAGCAGTCGATGAGTCTCAGATTCCGCTTGCAGCTCAGGTTCAACGTAAAACTTTGCAGGGGTTTACTGTCGGTAAATTTGCCGTTAACGATGTGCAACTCGCAACGTTACAGTTGCAAGAAGTGCGTTTGAGAAAAGTGCAATTATTGAAAGATGGCTGGCAACGTGCCATTGAAGCGGAAAGTCTGAGTCTCGGTATTGAACCAAGTCAAATCATGGCAAAAGACGCTTTAGCACAGATCAATCAGAGTTTATGGCAGGAAACACAAGCTTTACCAATCGTGGGCGGGGGAAATTAATATGCTGAATCAATTTAAATCTTTTAAACTTCAGAAAGGCAAAATTTCTCAACGCCTACTGATCATCATTACTATTGTAATGACTGCTCTTATTGCCATGGGGTTGTTCTTTTCAACCAAAAAAGGCACGAGCAAAGAAGAAGGCGGTGAAAAAGAAGCAGAACATGCTGAAGAAGGACATTCACATGATGAAAATGCTAAGGGAACCACCAAAGATGGTTCCGAAGAAGCGAAGCACAGTGAAGAAGAGGGTGGCGAGAAAGAGAATGCTGAAGCCATTAGTTTGACTGCTCAGCAGATCACTGAACAAGGGATTAAACTAGCTAAAGTAGAGATGGGTACTGTTACCAAATCAGCTTCTTATCCTGCAAAGGTTATGGTCAATACAGATCGTCAAGCACATGTATCACCAGCATTTAGTGGGCAGGTGGTTGCCGTCAATGTTGAGTTGGGACAGCGTGTGCAAAAAGGGCAGGCATTGGCGACATTGGGGGTGCCTGATTTGGTTGATCAGCAGGCGAATTTACAGGTCGCACAAACAAGCTTAGAGCTGGCACGTCAGGACTATGAACGAGAGCGTCAGTTATGGTCACAAGGTATTTCTGCCAAGCAGGATTATCAACGAGCTTACAATGCCTATAAGCAAGCACAGATTCAGGTACAAGCCACCAGATCTCGTTTATCTGCTTTTGGTGCCTCATCGAGCAGTAATGGTCGTTATGTTCTCACAGCACCAATTGCAGGCATCATCAGCAAAAAAGACTTGGTTATGGGTGAAAATGTACAGCTTGCCAGCCAGTTATTTATCATCGATCAACTGGATCAGCTATGGCTTGAATTTATTGTTCCAAGTTCTGAATTCTCAGCGATTGCACCAAATCAACAGCTGGAATTTAAGTCACTGCAAACGGGGAATACCTTTAAAGCACAGATTCAAAGTTTAAATAGTGAAGCTGATGTGCAGACTGGACGTTTACAAGTGCGTGCCAAAGTATTGTCGAATGCGGCTGAATTACGTCCGAATTTGATGGTCAATGTTCAGCTACAACAGCAAGGCACTGCTCAAGCATTACGTGTACTCAAAAGTGCCATACAGAAAGTTGAAGGAAAGGATATTGTTTTCGTTTCCAGTGAACATGACAAGAAAATCGAGTTTACTGCACAGCCTGTTGTACTGGGTCAGGTATCTGGTGATGGTCAGTGGGTTGAAGTGAAGTCTGGTCTGACTCAAGGTCAGCAATATGCAGGTCAGGGTAGCTTTTTGCTGAAATCTGAATTGGAAAAAGGAGAGGCGAGCCATGGGCATTAATGATTCTTCTGATTCTAAGTTAGATCTCGATGCGGATTCAGCATTACCTCAACCTGAAGGTTTATTTGATCGACTGATTCAATTTTCGATTAAAAATGCCATTTGGGTCATGCTGTTTATTGTGGCATGGATTGGCGTGGGGATTTACGGTTATCAAAAATTACCGATTGATGCTGTACCTGATATTACCAATACCCAAGTGCAAGTGAATACCCAAGCGGCTGGTTTTACTGCATTAGAAGTTGAGCAAAGGATTACCTATCCCATCGAAACTGCGATGGCGGGTTTACCTAAGCTAGAGTTGACCCGTTCTATTTCCCGTTATGGTTTATCGCAAGTGACCATTATTTTTAAAGATGGGACGGATATTTATTGGGCACGACAACAGATTAATCAACGCTTACAAGAAGCCCAAACCGAACTGCCAGATGATATTGCACCGACAATGTCCCCTGTATCGACAGGGCTAGGGGAGATTTATCAGTGGGTGATCAAGGCTGAGCCGAATGCGAAAAAACCTGATGGTACGCCCTATACTGCGATGGATTTACGTGAAATTCAGGACTGGATTGTACGACCGCAGTTACAACGTGTTCCTGGTGTTGCAGAGGTCAACTCCATTGGTGGCTTCAATAAAACCTATGTGGTCACGCCTGATTTAAATCGTTTGCAACAATTACAAATCCCTGTCAGTGATCTACAAAACGCTTTAACTGGAAACAATGAAAATCGCGGTGCTGGTTTTATTGAAACCAATGGGCAGCAATTGACAGTCCGTGTTCCAGGAACCTTGAACAATATTGAAGATATTCA